GTTATTTAATTCATCGTACATAATATTGAATTTTAGAAAGGTCAGCATTTTTTCATTTCAGTTTTCGAGTACTTTATTAGTTTACGATCTACTATCATATCGTCGTCTGAAGATTATTTCATGCAAATGTTGATCGGGCAGCTCCGCAAATGCTCCATACGCATAGTTCAATTTTAGCTACTCATTTCAACATTTCCAATGGTATCTCACGACTAATGCTTCACTGTTACCTTCCAAGGGTCAATAGAAGCGAGCTTGTCTTTAAGGACATGAGTTTCAACATAGCCCCACAATAAAATGGTTTAAAGGCGTTTAATCGCACGATCTAAACCGCCTATTGACCGGTCCCGTGGCCTATTATTACACATGCTGTGTAGCATGTGGCACCATCTTGTTTAAACCACGTGTCATGCAAGTCAAGTACTTGCATTTTGGGCAAGAAAGTTAGACCTCAGCTCACGGCAGAGCTCGGCATTCGAAGTTATGTTACAATTAGTATTATCTTTGAAGAAGTACCGTCCAATGATGCCACCAGACCAAACTGTGACTTTTTCCGAATGCATTGCTTTTGACTTATCTTCACTCTAAAATCCCAAAGCCCAAAATAATCTGCGTCGCAGAAGACAAGAAGCGTTTGTAAGACGAGTCATGGTTACATTGTGGACAAAACTGACGACGTTTGACAGTGAAATCAAACACGAAACGTGAGTGAGCATTTCAAACCAGTGTTGCCAAAAGGTAATTTTTGGGGTTCTGAATTATTCTCATTTCAACGTATGGGTATTACTAGAAAAAAACGTCATATTGTGAAAACACTGAAATAATTTTCAAGAATCATACAGCTGGTATATGTGGTCTGCTTACCCAGTGTATATAGTAGATGGGCAAGTCGCCCGCCACACGACCAGTGTACATTTTCACGGTATACCCTAGGTTAAGCAAATTAATATACAAACGAGTGATGACATTGCCATTCCAAGACCATATGAAAATGTAATTTTCGCATACACAGCATAATTTCTTTTGCACACACATACACACACACACTTAATATACATATACAGATACACATAAACACACACGCATAGTTATGGACCTTATTGTGGTTGACGGGGCTCAATGTCAACCTAGACATGACGACAGGCACGCTTCAAATGTCCTGATGGGGTCCATTTGCCTTTGATGAGTTTCTTGATTACGTTAAGAGTTGCTTTCTCGGCGATTTTATGCAGGACATGTTGCCTGTCACTTCTTTCTGTTCTTTCTGTTGGAGGGGGTTGAGGGTGTGTCTATTACATGTGCTAAGACTGTAACGATACAGGCAAGATTTAATGGTCACTTAAGTTGTTCAATTCACGCACAAACACTTTCTGCTGTTGGTCTCCTCAAGTTAAATTAAATTCCTTTAGTTTTTTCCCCTTTTAGTTTAGTTTTCCATATTGTGTGCAGAATCAAGTTTTCCTTTTAAAGTCCTTTATTCTATTTTTTCTTTGTTTTTAAAACGTCCTTGCCAAAGCAATTTCAAATACAAATCTTTATTCGTTAAAGAATAATTTCAACGCTTCGCAGAGATTTTTGCATGTTTCCGGATAAATCAAGTCCTCTAAAGTGTGGAGCGTGTGTGTGTTGTTGCCTAAATTGCGTTGAAAGGATTTCTTTTTTTATGAATCAAGGGGGCGTTTTATTTGGTTTCTCCAAATGACAGACACTCACATAACTAATGGTTGAAGTTTAATGGAAAAAATCCTTTGACATTTTTATTGTTTGTTTTGGATTTTATTAGGTTGGTGTAACAAATTTTGCTAATGAAACCACTGAGTACAGCATTTGAACAGTGGTACGCTGCGGCCTGAAAAGGGAAGAAACTATTTTGTCCTCATTCAAAAGGAAATCTTAAATGCCTTCCTAGGTTGGTTTACACCATTTGATACGGCCAAGATGTGCCTCATCGAAATGACAGTTTTAGACCCGGCTCTCTTTGGATGAAATACGTTTCAAGACATTTAAAGTTAATCTAAATGGCACAGTTTGTCTGTTTGCATGGTTCCAATTGGCCCAAAATTGGTACATCGTAATGTGATTATTAAACCTGGATCGAGTTCGGAGATGGACAATATCAGTTTACCCCTTTCAAAGAAAAGAATTCACCTAATAGATAAAAAAGAATCATCGGATTTTGTTCAAGATTTGCGAAACCAAATATTTGTATCAGGACAATATCAGCCGACTCACTCTAGTAAGAAATAAGATTCCGATTTTCTTCGTACTTTGCACATACCAATATTTCTATCAACAACAGGTTTTAAACACCCACAACGATTATAAAATGCAAGATGAGCATCTGCCTCTTTTTAAACTATCAAAATTCCAATATTTGTACCTACACAAGATCTGGTGTAAGGGTGAGGTTTGGCGGACCACTCCTTCTGGTACTTTCCCTACAAAGGGTCAACATTTTGAATCATTAAAACTGTCATAAGATGCCAAATAATTTACCGATATTTTTTTAACATCGAACAATGCAATACATTCATCATTCAACAGTAGGGCTAGTGTAAAAGTGGGATCGATCGACACACTTCTTCAGCAATTTACCCCACAAAGGGGAAATCGTGGTAAAACCCATAAAATGAGGAAATATTTTCCAGTTCTCTTTAAAGATCACACATTGCAATATTTGAACTTACTTAAAATTTAATGTAGGTCCATTCTATATGAAATGTCCAACAATACGTATACTCAAATACATTTTGAGGACTGATACTGTTTACTCGTGCGTGAACACAACTATTATACTTCTAATTCACATAATTTAAAAAAAAATCGTTTAAATATTTTGCTTCGTTTCCAACAGATTTCGCCTTGAAAAGCTTCTAATTGTAGAATAAACATTGAGTCGTCATGTCAACGCCGAAAAAGAAATTAAAATAAATATTTAAACTAAAAAGCCAATTTGAGAGTAAATTGAGCATAACCCAAAATTTAATGAAAACCGACCAAGCCAAGCCGAACGAGGCTACAACAAAGACAAAAAAAATATTTGCAATGGAATTGGCCAGCAGCAGCAGAAATATTGTCTATGGCACACCAACCACTTGGACAATTGTTAACTTTTCAGACAATTCAGCCAGTCATTCAAACAGAAATATTATCTCATCCAGTGATATCCTCCATCCTTTGGTTCACAATTCCATACCAGGCAACAAAGGGACCCGAGGAGGCACATGATGGACAGCCAGGCTGAGAGTCGTCATTCTGTTGCAATGGAAATGATACGGCTGCTGATGGTGGTGTTTGTTTTTCAAATTAGTCTATGTGTGAGTGTGTGTGTGCAACTCTACTTTTAAATGTATATTATGGAGAAGCTACAGACGTTGGAGCAGAAGAAGTGGCACAAAGCTCAGGGCAACCATTCAACAGGAACATCAAAGTTCGACATGATGCCGGTTGCACAACTCGCAACATACCAATGTCAATTGGGGTGAGCCCAAAAAAAGGAAGTCTTTGTCTGTTGCAGTAACTGGCCCCATTTCGCTTTGCAATGCTGCTGGCCTACCCACATCCACACTTACTTATGAAGCTGACTACTCCCCAAAATAATACTCTACTCCCTCCTCTCGTTGCAATTGAAAGGATGGGTGATTATTAAAAAAGTTCGGATATTATTTGAAGTAGTGCTTTGGAGAAAGTTTCCGGTCATTATTTCGTTTTATGTTTCCTCTGCTGGTCCTTCCTTTGACACACAAGTCAAATATGAATTTTATCATGTTTGTTTTGTGGATAAATCGCACAGAGAGATGGATGATAACTCTTGTTCGGGTTGAGATATGCAAACATATGAAATATGAAAGGCAAACACAATTAAAATAAAGTTAAGACTGAATTAATATTGCCAAGGGCTATGGCAGAGGCTTTCTGTTCTTTGATGAGCGATAGGGCGAACGATGGACGTAATCGATTACAGTAAAGCCCCTATAATTTCTAACTATTTTAAATTGCAGAATAAATTCTAGGAACGACATATTGTTCGTAATGATAAGAAATCCAAGTTTACAGACTAAAAATATTTTTTTGGAAAATACCGCAAAGCTATGGTTATGAAGGAAACTTATAATAGTGACCCTGTGTACGTATGATGTACATATTTCGTTACTTTACAATTCAAAAAAAAAAAAAAATCTATCGGGCCATAATACATTATTAACTCGAATATCTCTTTAAGAAAAGAAAATGATATAACATTGTTTGAACATTTCTCTGATTCAAGGGATATTTTTTCCAATACAAAAAAATTTCAACGCCCGAATCACATTTTATTTCCAAAGAAGAAACGAAATATCATCGATGTTTGAGATATTGAAAACATTTCGAATAATGTGGAAGATGATGAATGGCGGGTGTGTGTGTTTGGCGAACGTTGAAGAGGGGATGGTAATGAATCAACATTGGGGGAACATGACACACATTTGTACAAATAATTTATGTTAAATAATGTCGGTAACATATGTTCTCCTCCGAAATACATCCTCTAATACTTTATTTATGCGAATAACCAATTCCACAACTTTGTTCTCACTCTCTGTCGCTTTGCCGCACATTACAAATTATATGGTTTGACAATTCTAAAATTACTTCCCTCGGCTCGATGTTTTTCCACCCTTAGCAAAATTATGTAATTAGTTGCGGTTTTTGCGTTCGGATGAAATGGTTATAATAAATAACAATGACATTATGAGAGGGGCTTAAACACCCCCTCACCCCTCGAAAATGTAGAAATCTGTACCCCATGAAATCTAAACAAATGAGCTCGTTAAGGGAACACATTGGAATGGAATCTTAAGAGTATGTTATTTCGCAAAACAAATGTAAGTGGTTAAGAGTGAATTACGTAATTGATTAGTGTAAACGAGCAATGCCAATGTTGGGGGATGTTTGTTAGAAGACTCAAAAATAGTTACGAGTATGGATATCAAGGGCACTCAATGCTTATGTAGACTCACCTCCATATCTGCAGTTGGTTTTGTCTGATGGTATGTTACCGTTTGGTTCCAGTCTATCCAAATACTCCTCGGAGTTATAACCATTGTAGGGAACTTTATTACCGTGATTGTGACTATGGCCACCTCGATGATGGTGATGATGATGGTGGTGGTGATGATGTGTTGAGTCATCGTTATCTTCTCTGGATATTGCTGAAAGAAGAGAGATGGTCAAAGAGAAAGATTAGAAGGGGTAAACTACAAGGAAACAGAGTGAGAACTTATTGCTCTATTGAAAAAATTGAGATTTTGAACACAAAAGACTCTCAGATTATGGTCGAACCATTGACAAATAAAGGTATAGACTAAAAAGTTTTAATGAAATTGATGATTGGGACAGTAAAATCACTCAGGGCTAGTAAAGTCACTCGACTACGAAAACAACTTGTTCAATTTATTTTCTGCTATTTAAGTTATATAATTTTATATTTCAAGACAAATAAGACATATAATGTCACTGCCTTGTTTTCAATTGATAAATAAAAATAAATATTAAAAATTATTCGATATTTTGTGTTTTGAGAGATTTGAAATCTATTGAAGCACATTTTTCGAAGATAGCGGATGAGACACCTTTTTAGTCTATACCTTTAGTTGCCTATGGTCGAACTTAATTCATTTCCAGTAGGGCTCTTTTGTTACTCCAAGAGAGAGAAAGTGCAGTTTTCGGAGGAAACTTACAAAACATGAATTTTGATAGCCCAAACATTTAAGAAAGCGTAGCTATAACCCATGATGCAACTAAGAAGGTAACCCCATTTCAAATAAGCATCTCCAGTCCTACAAATTTTGTAATTTACTTTTTTATTTTTACCCTTCTCCGATTTGTGTATACATAATGCATCTATGGATATATTGTATGAGATCTTGTCAATGGTAGAATGGTGAATTCTAACATACAATGGAAACAAATATCCGAACATTCAGGGCAATTGCAATTACAAACCAAAAAATAGTATTTCATGTTATACCACTTGAATCCATTAAATCACCCAAGATCTGATACAAAGTCCATGAATGAAAAAATAGACTTTTTAAAGGGCAACCAGGCGAGCGTGTTACACTCTGTTCACTAAAATGGTTTTAGTTACTTTTCAAGTTATTTTCATTCATTTTTTTGTGATTTTTATCACAGAAACGCAATGGGAAATGTTACAACATTTCACCGCGCTTCGTTACCTGTCAAAGAGGTTGTAGTGGACTTGTGCAAAACGAACAACTTCAAACGGAAGACTTTAAAGGCAACACAACAAACAAAACATAGAAAGTCGACCATTACAATATTGAAAATAGAAACATGGCCGGCATGCCGAGTGTGTTTGTTTTGCTGCATGTCCGGCTGTTGGCTCGGCACTTTGTCCTTTGTCAATAAACCTGAAATTATGCAACGAATCGTTGTTGATTCCAACAAATACTCCGCCTAAAAACAAGCTGCAAAAGAATAACTAAGCCATAAATAAAAAATACAAGTCCAGTGTCAAACAGAAAATGTAAATTCTATTCGAAACTGTTTTCTAAAATGGAGGGCGTCGATTGTTTCCCAACAAACATCCATTTACTGAGCCGTTGAGCCCCCGACACTGCCTGTGCTGCTCAATAAATAACAATATGCCGCTATTTGGTGAATTGTATCCGAAAGACCTGGGAGGGCACAAACAACCAGTAACAAAATACGAAACAAAAGTCAAAGGCAGCTGAACTAATGGCCACACAAGAGCCCTCAACCCACACATACACACAGATGCAAACGAAATACTTCTGATATCAAAGGACTTACTTTCGGGCATGAATATTTTATAATCCCGACTGTTTCGTTTTATTGAATTGATGGAAACGAAACTAAATCTTAATGTTAGTTCTATTTGTTGGAAAACATAGTAAAATAGTATTGAAAATAAGAATAGTATATAAGAGTGTTCCTAAAATACATTCTCTGCATAGTCGGTATTTTGGATACGTACACGACAAAAAGATTTTTAAAAGATAGTCCCCTTTTCATTGTTAATCTTTAGCAATTGTGCCTTCTTCGACCTGGCATTTCTCCTTATATTGTGATAAATTTCGGAAATAAAAATAACTTTTTTCCGATTTCCGAACGCAGTGCACTAAAATTCTCTTTGAACAATTTTTATATCCTCAGCGTATGACCATGTATATACGTAAATACTATGAATATACAATGCATTTATAAAATCAACGTTTTTAATGGAAAAGAAAAGGACAATTTTGGAAATATTCATCTGTTCTCTTGGTTTTTGTTTAGGAATATCCTCTGCAGGGGTGAAGCTTTTAATTACCCTCTTAGTCTTGTGTATAGGGTATATATCATTAGACCCTTGATCTCTTTGTACTTATTAATATTTATAGGCTATCTTTCCTTGTCCATTTTTCTGGCAGGCAGGAAGAGAATATCCGATCAAAGAAAGAAAATAATTTACCTCATAAAAATGGGTCATCCAATTTTGTTTAAAATTTGCAACTCCCAGTATTTGTACACTGCAAGTCAGGTTCATTGTCCTTCAATTTTGAACATCCCAATATTTCCACCAAAACAAGATCTAGTGTGAAGATTCGATATAGTGGACAATCGGGCTAGACCGACTATATGATACCCTCCCATACCTCTAGTAAGAAATACGTTTATACCGGAAATGTATGTGAAGTAGATAATACCAACTATGAACCAGATAACACTGCTGTATAGTGCATGGTATGACTTCGATTAGGAGTATATTAAAAATATTTATTGGAGCAATATACCGGACCGACATTCACCAAATGGTAAAATTAGGTTGAATATGCAATAATCTTTACTTTTTGCTGATATTAAATACATGGTGAGCAATAACAGTAGAATCAGATCTGATATCTGGTATCAAAGATCATTGTTGTGGAATGCATAGTCCGCATGTCAGAGACTAAAAACCCCAAATAGGATGAAGCATGTATATGGGAGCCATAGCTATATCTGTACCGATTTCGATATTTGATATACCTGCTTCTAGGTTGAATTCCGTTGGATGTGCAGAAATTCAGGTCATTATAACACAAAATCGGTTGAAGATAATATATGGTATCTATATCTAAATTTAAACCGATTCTCACCATAAGACTGTACCTCTATTTAAGACTTATCTTAACGAAAGTCCTGATAGTTTGAGGCATAAATTTCTGATTATCAACCTTAGAATGAGAAATGTTCGAGTAGCAAATCATTTCCCTCTGACTAATTTGGGTTTGTTTGTTAGCCCCTGTTTTATTCGGAGCGCATAAAAATACGCATTCAATATACACATTTTCTAGCATTCAAAATAAATTTATGATTGGATATCCGAAGTTCAAATAAACTAAAATTTCCGACTCTTTGCATTGCAAGTCGCCCAACAAAAAGCAGATGGCAAAGGGTCATATTGTCGGTAATTTGCTTTTGAGCCGCTCCAAAATCCTCAACAAACAAATCCATTTAACTCTAAACCTGTGCAAATTGCTGGGTTTTGTCATGCAAAGCGAAAAGGCAAAAGGGGACAATAATAGCAACAACAACAACAGCAGCAGCTCCGATGATAAATATTATTTATATTCACCCCAATTTGTGTTCTTGTTTTGCTTTCAGTTTTTTTTCTTTCAATTCGAAAAAATACCATCAAATAAATTTGAATGATAATCTCCATATACGGCAGGGCAAACAAGCCGTCCATCCTACAACGCGTTGGAGGGATACGAATTCAACGGCCAGACGCTGGCTGAACTAAAACAAGAGTTGTGCGAGCGAAAACAACGGAATGTTCCATTTTTTTTTTTTTTGCAAAATTTATTTCTGTAGTTGGAGAAACAACTACTGTTTGTTTTCTAGTAAAATTGTGGTTTGTTGTAGTTGTTGTTGCCGTTTTCAGGGTACATATGATTGTGTGTGTGTGTGTGTGTGTATTCTATGCCGCACACCGGATATCCTGTCGTTCTACATTTAAAAATATAAATATTTTTGTATTTTGTTGTTTTTTTCTGTAAACACTGAATTGGTTGAGGTTGCTGTTGTTGGCTGGCGTTGTTGCTGGTCGCTGATGTTGTTGTTTTTGTTGCAACTGTGTGTGTATCCATACGTTCGCCCCGTAAAGTAATTTGCATTTGGTTGAATTGTGTAACCCATTTTAACTTCCAGTGGATCCTTTTGTTCTACTAAATTGTGACATTTATACTTGACGTTTATTTGTGTGTGTGTGTGTGTGTTTGTTTTGTTGTGCTATCCAGTCCCCTAAACATACACACACAAACACATTCTGAGAGAGTCACCATTATGACAAGCCGGCTTTGGTCTGCTTCGGACTACAAAGGGATAGAAAGTTATTAAAATTGTAATTGTCGCTTAAACCCAAAAGCACATCACACACCAACACAAACAGACACAGACACACACAGATACAGACACAACAACCTTTATGAGTTGATATTTCATTGTATTTCGTTACGGGCTATCCTCTTCGTTTTTTGGGTTAACGAAATGTAATTTCGTAAATTATTCACTACTTCCCAAGTGCCCTGGACCAGAGACCGATCAACCTCATTTTCGCCCAGCAGAGTCAGAGAAGCGGCGATGACAGCTTCTTCTTTTTGTTCGTCTCAGTCCTTGTATCAAACACAAGCCATAAGTGGGTTAAAAGCCTTGTGCTACAACATAAAGTTTAAATTAATTTGTTATTTATTTAAGTCGTGTTGAACAGTTTAACATTTGCATGTGTTACATTGTAATCATGCTGTGGACAATTTGTTAGAGATCACATCAAAAACAAATGTGTGGCAGCAGTAAATTCTAAGAAATTCTAAATGTTAGAATTATAGCTGAATTCTTATTCTTTGTTTTCCATTAAAGGTTTTGTACTACTTTAATCGTCCAAAGACTTTGATGTTCGCTGAGTCCTTTTTATATATCCACTCATTTTTTGGTCATTAGCAATTATTGCCCCGGAATAAACAATAAGTTCGTGTCTGGTCGTCTGCTGTTCACAGGGAAATTAATTATTGAAATGACGCCTCGGAAATTCTAATCTCATATTTCAGATACCGACTCTTTTGGCCCTGTGCTCACATACAAGTGGTCGCTTTTTAACACTTCTGCCATGATTAACATCAACGATGGGGCCATTGCCATCAGCAGC